TTATTAAACATTAATATTTCCAAAAAATATAAGTTGTACAGGCACCAAAGGTCATAGCCATCATTTGACACAGGAGCTTTACAAATATAAATTACAATGGCAGCTCTAGGACAAAGTATGCAGGAGGAGAAGCGTGCCAAAGTGGAGATGACTTAGATGAGAAACGAATTACAATAGTGTGCATTGCATTGGCAATGCACACTGACTACAGCTGATTGTTGTTAAAAGACTAAAACATGGGACAATGGAAGTCATCCACTCCTCTTTCCTATTTAATGGTGGGCAACTGACATGCTTTTCAAAATACAAATGGAAAAACTCAATTCAAACTCTGAGGAGACTTGAGTTTATGGAACCTTTTTAACAAGATCAAAGATTTTTCCTTCTGCCACTTATTTATTTATTTGTTTGTTTGTTTGTTTTCTTTCTGCATTATGTGTTTATTTGTAATAATTGATTGTTTGTTAGTGCACATGAGCCATATTTGTTTTGTTCTGAACTTTGAAAACTAAAATTATAGGGGGAAAAAAAGGATTTGTCTAAAAACAGCTCCAGCACGAGATGATCTTAGTTTAAAACTCGGGGAGGAAGATCAGCGGGCTATAACAGTGTCTGCTAGCATTGCTAGGTCTTTAATTGTTTAAAATGTTTGTTTTTTTAAGCTTTTCCAACCAGAGAAACATGGTGGCCTGATCTTTACCAGTCCCAGAGCAGTGGAAGCTGTGAAGATGTGTTTAGAAGCAGAGGAACGGAGAGACGGTGGGTTTCTTTTACTGCAGAGTTAGGAATGAAAACGGTAAYGGGTAAAACGTGATGTTTTATTTATTTTTATTCAGAATGGARCAAATCTGTAAAAGACAAATGGAACATGAAGTCCATCTATGTGGTTGGGACGGCAACGGCAGCGTTAGGTGAGTTCTTTCATCACCTGGAAGCTTCTTTATGATTAGTGCATCTTATAAACTTATTCCGAGTGTGTCAGAGTGCGACACACACCTGTGTGTAAAGTGACTCGACCACCTGCAGCCTGATGTTTTACACAAGCGACAGTTTGCTGCCAACAACAGACCAGATTTGATCTGTAGGAAACGAGCAGGTGCTTCCTAACGTTTGTTGTTTTTTTCAATGACGTCTCTTGTTGTTTGATTCTTCAGTTTAAAAACAATTTAACTTGAGTTTTCTTTCTGTTTACGCTCAGTTGAGATCATTTTTTTCTTACACACATTATTTTTGTGCTATTTCAACAAATGAAATATCCAAACATTTGGTCCTGRTGCAGCTCAGTGATCCAGGTAGATGAAACTAAAACAGCTGAGCAGGACGAGTTCTTCTTTTCAACAAAGAACTCAGCCTTTTAAATCAAAATATTCAGCTCCTTGACGTCATTTCCACTTAGACTTTTGGTACTTTTGGTATTTTTTTCAGATATTTAGCTTTTTTGACCATGTTTTTCTCATTGAAAATAAATGAAGAACCCTTAAAACCATTCAAACTGTGCATAAATCTTTACTGTACTTTAACTTTTCTTCTGATTCGGCTTTTTTTTTAAACTCTTTTGTGCTATTTTTAGGTTTTTTAGCTTCCGTTTGGCAGATTTTAGCTTTTTTTTTTCTTGCTTTTATAGTTATCATTCTGATCTTTTCTACTATCCTTCTAATTTTAACTCCTTTTTTTTCAGCTGCTTTCTGTTAATTTCATCTGTTGGCTGTGTTTTTAGCTTTTTTAGCTAATTTCAGCTAAATTCATTTCTTACTGTTTAATTCAGAACACTTGCTTTGTCTGTTTT